ATGATGATAAAAAGTCAGAGTAAGAGTAGCTTATGAGTTGCTCAGGGGTTTGTGACATGCAAATGACTGCGCTCATGCTAAATAATGACAGCTACTACTCTTTTAAGTTTAGGAGAGCCTTTCCAATATATCCTCTGATTAACACAGTAAATGCATTTTTCAAGAAGTGTGAAATCCTGATATTATCAATCATAAAGCAAAAGGCTTCAGCAATCTTCAATATAATTTTACTCACTCGCAAACCAATTGGTTTTCCTCTCAGATATCGAGCTTAGCCCCCTCCCCGATCTCCCTGACAACAATTATCTTGCTAACTTTATGGCTTAGCGAGAGTCTCTGCTGCCTTGTCAGCCCTTTCCCCAATCAATGGTCGTTATGGGTGAGAGGAGAAGGAAGGCACTTCACAAGTTTGGAGTGTGTCCATGCATTCGTTGTGCACTTGACCCCCTATCAGTCACATCCTAAAATGATAGAAGCCAGATTAAAAATAAAATAAGAGTAAAAACAAGGTAAATGATTCATTCCTGTTTACACAAACACTAAAAATACACCATCTTGTTATTCGTGACGGCGATGCAAAGTGCACATTTGCATGAGGAACAGGAGCACGACAGTTAAACGCTGTCATAGTATGCTTTAGAAAGAGATACAATATATGCATTAATAAAGAAAGAATTAAAGATGTAATACTCTGACAACCCGGAATTCATTTAGATCTTCTCTCATCTTTAACAGCTTTTTTTCCCCTAGCAGATAATTTAAGCTCATACATATATGCTATCAAAGCTTTTCCGACTTCTGAGGCAGCAACAAGATAAGATTTAAAGAACTTATTTTTTATATATTCATCTTATGCTGTGAAAGGAGTGAAAAAAATATATTTTTGTCACTTTAAACATGGAAGATTTCTAAATTAAAAATCCCAATTTGGGCAAAAATCACCCTCAGGTGACATTGTGCACAAACTTAAATAATCAGTGGTTCCTCTGCACTTATCTAACATCATGTCCCGCTATTTATAGACCTGAATGAAGCTTGTTAATGACCAAAAATTCTTATAATATTCAAGAATTTCCTTCAGACATGTACGCTTAATGAAGAAACGGACATAAGTATTCATGCTGTGGTTCATATAAATGTATTTGCTTCTTTAATTTCAGGGCCACCTGTCTGCTTCATTAATTAAACACTATTCCACTGCAAGGTTCTGCTTCAGAGTATGAAAGACAAGATTGTTTAGGTTATGGCAGGAGATCTAAAGACTGTGTATTGTATATGCATACATTCCCACACAGGGGGCTGCATGCTGTAAATACTGTATTTGGGTCTTCTTTTATGTTCCCATCTTCCAAAGCAGTGAGAAGCAATCAGGCATAAGGCAGCTGTGTCTGATTGTCTTTTGTGTTGCTGTCCATGTTGCTCACAATGATTTTTTTCACCCTTAAGCCTTGCATTGGTAGCACAGCACAAAAAGAGTTAGTCACTATCTCACACATGCACAGGTGCATTCACACATTTGCGCCGGCTGATATTCATGCAAATGTGTGCACGGGCTAATCCGTGCACGCAAACAACTGACCAGTATTTCAATATTCATAGCATGTCAGTTTGGATGTCAGTCCAACAAGTGGTGTCACACAGCTGCGTGCGAGTCTGTGTGTGTGTGTGTGTGTGAGAGAGAGAGAGAAAGAGAGGAGAAGAGAGATAAGAGGAGAGAGAAGGAGAGAGAGGGGAGAGAGACATCCTACAGAGAATTCCTGCTGTGCTGCTCCTCAGGTTCAACAATGTGGGTCACACTGATGTACATCTGCACTCACACTTTTTCCCTTTCGCTCTCTCTTGCACACACACACACACACCCACACTCACGCAAATTTAGGAACAAAATGTTTCCCAAAAGAGCCAGAAGAAAAAAACACAGCAGTAACTGGTTTGAAAAAGTCTCACCTTCTATGTCTTTTTGTTGGAAGCAGTGCTGCTGCAAAGTAACGGCTGCCACCTCACAGTTTCTGTCTCTAGGAGGTTTTGCTCCTGCAGCGGACTTCCATTCTGAGGTTTTGTTGTGATCTCAGCTCCGCTTCTTTCTCTTTTCCCCTTCTCGTCTCTTTCAAAGCAAAAACGCCCCTCACTTCCGCCGCTCCGCCACTGAGAAGCCCTCGGCGGTGAGTGTGAATAGAGAGAGATAGAGAGCTTGCCCGCTGCCAGGCACTCTGCCTCCAGCCAGCCAAGTCTATATCTGTCTGCACTCTGCCGCTAGGTCACTAAGCTAAATATGATGATCTTCAACAGCACTTCAAGGCTAATTAGTCAAGTGAAGGGATCCACGGGCTTGGTGAGGAAGCCTGCTCAGTTGCCGGTGGATATGAGGAGAGGGAGAGGGAGAGAAAGAAAGCGAGAGAGAAAATGTGTGTGTGCATCTGTATGCGTGTGTGGAAGAGGAAGAGGAGGAGGAGGAGAAGCAAAGAGGAGAAGAAGAAAAAACAGAGTTGGAAGAGGGAACAAGAAAATGAGAACGCAGGAGTGGAGACTGAGAGTAGAAAACAGCCAGAATGTGTATGAGAGAGAAAGAGAGAGAGCAAGAGAGAGAGCAAAAGAGAGAGCAAGGGAGAGAGAGAGAGAGAGCATTCGATAAAGAGAGAAGGAGGGACTGTATGTGTGTCAAGCAACACAGTGGCTAAAATGGTAGATGCTGTGCACTTTAGTACCCTAGGAAACCACTTTGACACAGGAAGACATCATGTACTCTGTGAGAGCGAGTGTACCGTTGTGTGTTGTGTAATTATGGTAAAGTGGAAAGCCAAAGCAATGGAGAAAAAAAATAAACTAATGGTATGGTGCCATTTCGTATGTGCGCGTGCGTGTGTGTGTGTGCTTATGTATCTAAATTCAACAGTGGGTTCAGGTGAGCTGCAGGGACTTGACTTTGGACAGTCAGAAGTAGGTTAATGATGCATCGTCAAGCAGAAAAGTGGGATGCATCCCCCACACGCTTCAATGTAGGTCACGGGCCTTCAGGTGAAAGTTCACGGGCAGCTTTCTGGGCCATTGTATGTACGTAAGAGCACACTGCATAATTTTTAATAAATTCTGCCTCCCTCAGGGCTAAAACGAAACCTTGTGCATTTCTGTGGCCGCGCATGCATATACATGTTGATGTGCTGGTAACCTTTGGTAAATATTTAGACATGCTGCAGTGGCTGAACTGTTGGACCACTGTGAAATAACCGGGCAGCACTGTTGCACAGGTCTGTACTTCTTTGTCTCATATAGGCATCGCAATTACATTCATCAATGAGTGGACGTAGCCTGCACAGATTATATTGTGAGCTTATACTTTACTTCTTTATGCTGTAGTGTCTTGTCTTGGCTGGCTGTTCACACTGACAGAGGACGTGACGTGACGTCCACTGAAGATGCATTGGGACTACCGGCACATCATACAGCTGCGGCTTCACATTGACTGCAAAGAAAAAAATGACAAAGAAAAGAAAAAAAGATTGTTGTTGCATTCACAGACACACAGAGCTCTGAAACAGAAGGAACTCCGATAATTCAATCATACATACTAGCACAAACACACACATGCACATACAAAACCAAACAACAAAAAAACACCTAAAATCATAACTTTTTCTAACTTGTTAAAATGCACAGTAACAAATTTGTGTTCTAAGTTTCGTTTTGTTGACTGGAAGGCTTTTTGTATAGAATTTGCTGATTTTGTTGTGGCTATGTGGGCTTCCTCTGGGGCTCCAACCCACACTAACTTGGATAAGAAACAAAACAAAACAGTGATAGATATATGTAAGTGTTTTTAGTCCTTGTCAGGGACACACACACTCACACACACACACACACACACACCAACAACAACAACAACAAAAACAAAAACATAATCTCAGAGAGATTGAGAGAGCTTTTAAACTGAAATTACCAATCCATTTTTCAAACCTCTTCCTTTTAAATTTCCACCCACTACTTCCAAAACCCCACCCTTAGATGACAAGCTGAAACCAACCTTGTTTACGATATCTGCATCCCTCTTAAATATATAAAAGCGAGGCAATAATAGCAAATTGCATCTTGAGACTATAGCATTATGATGAATGAAATCTAAAGAGAATAAATGCATAAGTAAAGGTGTTTGGCATTCCTATTGCTAACACAGTTTTTTGAATACATCTCCGTTGTTAACAGGAAGCCACCCACCTTTCTAATGCACTCAAACGAATCATTCACAGCTGGAGAGGGACAACGGACCACATGTGGTAAAGTGTGTTTCTTTTTTTTCTGAAAATCAGAGATAATATCACGTGGTGTCACAGATGTCATGGTTCCCATGGTAACTTAATACATTCATTGAATGGTATATCAAGGAAAGAAATGTGAATACGCAGAAACGTGTATGCTTTACAGCACAAACGCAATGTAGATTCAACAAGTGCCACTTAATAACGACCTTGCCTTAATGACACCACTTGTAAAACACAAACATGAAAAAAAAACACTTTAGCAACTAGCCTAACTCACTGCTCTCGAAGCAACCAAAAAGTGTTAGGCATGAAAAAAAAAAGAAAAGAAAATCATATCAATAACTGCACAGCTAATAAATCGGAATTTAAAAAAAAATAAGGATAAGTGGATTTTTTTTGCACAGATACAAATTTCCTGTCACCACAGCACCTGCTTCCTGCGAGGACATCATAAGAACTGCAGTATTTTTTTGTGACTACATTAATATCTGTCTTTTATAACCTCCCAAAGGAGAGCTACTTTTTCCATCCCATCACTTTAGCCCAAACCCTGCAGGTGTACATTTTTCTGTAATATCTCTTCTATGACAGCTGATGCTTTTAGATATGCCCGTCTGGTCTAATACCGCGATGTACGTCTGACAAAATAACTTAGATTGCATCACGCTTTCTAAGAACAGAAAAAGCACGAAAAGTTAACAAAGTCAAGGGCAAAACAAGCAAGGTAAGACACTGCAGAGCTCTTTAAATAGAGCAAGCACACAGAGGTGGGCGTGTGTAGCCTGCAAACACTGACACACACAAGTGCAGTGGACATGCACACACACAGAAACACATGCGGTACACTTATCATCTTTACAGTCATTTTGAACACACTCCTTATAGCCCCATCTATAGGAACTACAGCTTTGTGTTTACAACAGACTTCACAAATCGTTATTAAGTTTGCAGCTAATGTTTTATTAGAGAGTGGCAGAATCCAAATCTAAAGATTCACAGGTCACAGGTTTGCACTAGAAAGGACTTTTCAGGCATGGAAGTAATGTAAAAACAGTGATGCTGATAGCCTAATCAGCATTTACATCACAAGTGGATCACATGACTGTTTGAATACAGGTGATGGTGAATACAGGTGAAGCTTAACATTACTTAAATGCCTGAAAACACACACATAAACACACACACAATTGTTTGCAAGCACCAGATGAAGTCCAAAGATTTACTCCATCACTGTCACATCTTATATCAGCACTGTTTTCAGCCCCAGGTTATACCTTTGTGCTGACAAGCGTCTGCCCTGTTAATGTTTGCCTTAACAACTGTGCTCACACTGGTTTGTTAGAAGGTGTTTTCACCAATGAACCGCAACCCCAATGTTTTCTAGATACAGAGCATCTGATGACCAGGGTGCATGTAAAGTCTCCTACTCAGTCAAATGGAAACTAGCCAGTCTTTATCCTGTCAGTTGTTTGTGTGATGCTGGATTGCCAAAAATGTATGAATCAAGTGTATTATTTCGTGCTGTTTGCTACAACTGTGGAAAGTACCTGATTACGTGTGAGAACACCTACACGGCAAACAACCTGACTGAACCCCACTGAGATAATTCTGTCTCTTAAACACCACAAAACCCCGTCAGTAAACCGCCCATTAGAAACCAGTGTTCCCACTTCCTCTTTACATTTGTATTGTGTTTACATAAGCACGCGGACAAGAACAGCGCTTTTTCCAAACTATGCTATTAAAACAGATGCAGGCAAACAAAGAGCCGTGCTGGTACTTCTACACGTGAACACAAAGGTACAAAAAGCCTGTGCATGCAGTATTGTTAAAGAAACGCTGCTACCCTGCCAAATACCTCCCCTACAACCACAGACAAAGGACTAGTTGCTGTATTGTTATCTATATGATTTTAGCCTGCGTGCTCCCGCTCTCTCTCTCTGGTGTGGTGTGAAGACTGTGTCTTGGGGAATTAGAAGTAGGCCGAGTCAGTGGATGCGCTCATTTCATATGATATCACTGTAGGGGATCACAGCCAAGGACATTCTTACTTCAAATTGCCATGGTAGGGACTTTCAGATATAAAGAATTAATCAGATTTTAAGCAAAATGAGATTATAAAGAAGAGACACCACAGGTCAGCTAAGCTGTGATTCATGAGGCTAAAATACATCTCTAAAGAACTTGTTACGCTTGGACATCAGGGGTTCATACCCTACATTTGGGAAAATTAAAAAAGCAATTAATGGCGGGAAAATGAGGATGAAGTATATGTAGTATAAATGAAATATGACTAAGCTGTAATGATACATAAAAATAGCTTGGCCTAGTTTTATTTCATGGGTCTATAGAGTAGCTGAATAGCGCCTTTGTTCTGTCCTTTCTGTCACTCATAAAATTATTTTATCACTGATATAAAGTGCCCTAAGACTTTTTCACACGTGAACCATAGATAATGTCATGTGAATCAGGTCAAGACACTGTCTGAAGCTGTCCTTTCTCACATGTGACAAAGAGCCGGAGCTAGATTGCATCAGCCACTATCTCACTAATGGGAATACATCGTTGGGTTGCAATGAGCAATGGGAGTACAGGAGGCCAGACAACTACTCAGTAGCTGTAAATTTACTGGACTAAAGGCACTATCGGCCCAACTTTGCACAACTGGACTCACATGTATTTTGTACTAGGGAACTGGCAGGTTAAAGACTGATTAATGGCCAGTCTCCCTGAGTCAGACATTAGTATTTTCCCATGCACTTCCTCTTAATAATGTCTAGAAAAATCTGCTGCAGGGCACATATGAAAACAACTTTAGTAAGGATTTTGGGCCCAGTGCCTACCAGCTCACCAAAAGTACACCTTGAAATTGATTCTGTCCAAATTAACACACAGAGCTGGTGACTGTGAAGATGATAGTGCATTAGATTTTTGGAGGTTAAACGAAATTAGTCTTAATGGAGATTTTAGGGTGATGACCTTGGCTTTCTTGTGGTGCCTGGTGTTTTGGCTCCTTGATAGACACAAGGACAGCCTAGCTGCTTGCCGACAGTGCAGAGACATACTGAGCTTCTTTATCTGGAAAGCTGATATAAGAAGGGGTATGTGACACTGTCTGAGATTAGGACTTCAGAATGGTATAACCG